GCTGCTACTACTAATACTACTACTTCCTACTACTACTACTACTACTACTACTACTACTACTACTATTGCTACAACTACTACTACTACTACTACTACTACTACTGCTACTGCTACTGATACTGCTACTACCACTACTATCACGACAACGTGGAGTAGTGGATCGCCAATAAAAATCAGAAACAACAGTCAATATTACTAGCTATGGCGACGAGTACTCAGTGTTGGAAACCTGGCGTCATGACAGAACGATGACTCACACAACAACCAAACTGGTCAACCATGATCCTTGCCACCAATCTCAGCTTGTTGATGACTGCGAGAAAGCCGTGGCATGCAGCTGGCAATGCTGATCATCGAAGAAAGTCTCGGTTGGGGCATGGACGACATCGTATGTAAGGTTGCTTACGATGCTCGTGTCATCAGCAAGCCGGCTTCGGCCATCATGAAGTTTAGACTGCTTTCAGCCCGCAACTTGGCATGACGTGATGCAGCAAGCCATGTTCACGTCAGTGAAGGCGTTGCGACCGTATAGTTCTAAGTGTTTCTGTGTGGCAGTGCACACTGCGATGCTAACATATAACTTATAACCATTTAAGGGTCCCAAACACGAACGTTTTTACAATTCCTTCCATTGTCACAGGCCCGCCTGAAAGTAAACAACATGTTTTCAAGGCGGATTTAGCCCGGAATGCACCCGAAGAACGACTTTTAGTTAGGCCTAGTAGGGGGACCGTGGGGTCGCCGACGGGTCGTGGGTTGGCCATCTCTATCCTTAGGGGCTGAGTACCCTAGCCCAAAAAAGGTTAACCTTTTGAATTATAGTAGAATTATAAGAGCCCCAAAAGGTTAAAGGTTACCTACTCAGCCCCTAAGTATCTCTCTCTTTTTACAGACCATTCCAGCATTTGAAACCCCAGGAATGCACGAGGGAGTGCGTACCAGAACGTGTGAGTTGGCCCTCTGTGTCTTTCGCAGCTTGCGGGCTCCGCTAGAACATAGCGTTAAACCCTAAACCACTGAACCCTCAACTCTAAACCCCAGACCACTGAACCCTAACCCCTAAACCACTAAACCCTAACTGCCCAAGAACCCCAGGGTGCAAGAGCATGGGGACGTCCTGCAGGGGACTGGAGGCTGCAGCAACCGCAAGAGGTGGACAGACTAGCAAAGGGTTCAGGGTTCCGGGTTTAAGGACGCTTCTTTGAGATTTAAGAACCCCGAACCATAGTATGTTTAGGGTTTAGGGTTTAGGAGCAGCTATGTTTTCCAAAGCTCGCGTGTCTTTACAAGTTATTAGATTGGGGGGGTGCTGAATGGAGCAGTCAACATAGGGGTTTTGGCCAACAGAAACCTAAACCATTAAACCCTAAACCCGGGACCACTATAAACCCTAAACCCCAAACCATTGATACCCAAGCCCATGATCCCTGAAGTCGAAACCTTGCATCCTTAAACATTGAACTCTAATCCCCTGAACCCCACAGCCTAACCTCGAATCCTGAAACCGAGAACCCTTGCAGTACGGGGTTCTATTAAGAGGCCCGGGTGCAGGGTGTAATGCTTTGGGTTTAGGACTTAGTTTAGGGGTTAGGGGAATACAGGGGCCTTGGATATGTTGTGGAAATTATACGGTTGCTTTTTTGGAAGGGCTTGGTACGGACTGTATAGGGCCTTGTGTGGGTTTTGACGGTGTTGGTATCGGACGCTGATAGCGGGAGAAAATTTAAATAGGCCTTCCTGGCATGATATGTTACACATGAACGAGGCTACGTGCAAACATAGATACATACATGCATACATACATATACACACATATACGCGTAGACTCCCCCCCCAAGGAAAAAGCCGTACCTTCGACCCTAAGTCACTGGGGCCATAAACCCAAAACCACTAACCCCTGGACCCCTAACCCCCAACCCCCTAAACCCTAAACCCCTACACCCCTAAACCCTAAACCCCTAAACCCCCAAGCCCGAAATCCTGCAACCCTATACGAACCCACCAGAACCCAATAAGAACCCAACAGGCACATAAGCACCACCCGTAAGGTTTGGATGAAACAAAACCACTTCTGAGACCGATCCGAGCTGCCTGTCGCCGGACATCACATTCCGCAAGGGGCGCTTTTGGCACCATTCCTTCATGAGAATTACTTTAGGGTTTAGGGTTTAGGGGTTTAGGGTTTAGGGGGTTAGGGGTTTAGGGGTTTAGGGGTTTAGGGTTTAGGGTTTAGAGAGCCCTAAATCCTAAGCCCTATGCTTTGAAAGTTTTGGCCCTTCACGGGTAATCACATAGTCATGCTAATTAGAGTGACATTTTCCGAACGGTGATAGTAATAATAATACTACGAAATGTGTAGGGTCCTAAACCCTAGATAACCCTAACCTCTGCAACCCCAAAACCCTAATCCTAAAATAACCCTACCCCCCCTAGTAGTAGTTGCTCAGCGGATTCTTTAGGGTTTATAAATTATAGGGATTAGGGGTTAGGGGTTAGGAATTCAGGGTTTAGGGTTTTGGGGTTTAGGGGTTTAGGGGTTAGGGGTTTAGGGGTTTAGGGGTTTAGGAGTTTAGGGCTTACGTAGGGGTTTAGGATGGTTCAGGGCTTTGGGGGTTTTCGGGTCTGGGGTTTAG